TCAGCAGGTTCCAGCTAACTCGGATTGAGCGGGCCTGTGCCATGGCTGGCCTACATGTCCTTCGGCTAATGCCTGAACCAACTGCGGTGGCATTATTATACGCGCAACAACAGCAGCAAACCACGCACGACAAAATGGGCAGCGGGAGCGAGAGAATTGCTGTGATATTCAACATGGGTGCTGGGTATTGTGACGTTGCGGTAACCGCAACAGCCGGAGGAGTTTCGCAGATCAAAACATTGGCGGGCAGTCCGACGGGAGGAGAAGACATCCTACAGAACACGATGCGCCATCTCTTGCCAAATTGGGAGACCTTGATGTCTTCTCACGGGGTGAAGGAGATACAGTCTATGGGGCTGCTTCGTGTAGCCACCCAGGATGCAATCCACAGGCTCTCGGGTCAAGAAAGTGTGCAAATAGACGTGGACTTGGGAAACGGGACCAGAATTTGCAAGGTTCTCGAGAGACGGGAGTTCGAGGAAGTGAACCGGAAGATCTTTGAGAAATGCGAGGGCCTTCTAGTGCAGTGCCTGAAGGAGGCAAGGATGGAGGCAGACGATGTTGCTGATGCGATAATCGTTGGAGGATGTTCATATATACCGAAGATTAGAGAAATCGTCAAGAGGGTTTGCAAAAAGGAGGAACTTTACGGAGGGATGAACCCGCTAGAAGCCGCTGTAAGAGGAGCCGCACTGGAAGGTGCTGTGACATCAGGCATTAACGACCCGCTTGGGACATTAGATCTCCTAACCATCCAAGCCACGCCTCTAGCCGTCGGGATAAGAGCAAACGACAATAAATTCATACCCATAATTTCCCGCAACACGATGGTCCCGGCAAGAAAAGATCTCCTCTTTACAACAGTCCACGACAACCAGACCGAAGCTCTGATCATTGTCTACGAGGGAGAAGGCGAGACCGTGGAAGAGAACCATCTTCTCGGGTATTTCAAGATCATTGGAATTCCGCCGTCGCCAAAGGGTGTCCCAGAGATCAACGTGTGTATGGACATAGACGCATCCAACGCTCTCCGCGTGTTTGCAGCCGTGGTGATGCCGGGCTCGCAAACTCCGGTGGTTCCGGTCATCGAGGTGAGGATGCCGACCGTGGACAACGGTCACGGCTGGTGCGCTGAGGCTCTGAACGTCAAGTACGGATCCACTCTCGACCTGATCACTGTTCAGAAGAAGATGTAAGCCGTGGAAGAGTGGTCGCGTTCTGTGTATGTTGTGTACGGAGAGTTGTAAGAGAAACAGTGTGATCTCTGTAATTAGATGAACTGAATAAGTAAAAATATGGGTTTTGTTCCATTTTTCGTTAGGAGTTCTTCCGCGTCCGATTTGTTACGTTTTCAATTCAGATGTCACATTATCGTGAAGAGAACGCCTAAACCCAAATTCTCTCTAACATTCGATGCGCACACGTGTGTGTGTGTGATAATGTTGTGTTAACATTGCTCGCCGTTTGTCCGTACAGTACATAAGCGTGCGTGTGTATATATACGTATATATATTAGGAGTTCAAAAGTGGTTGACCAAAATATGAGTCTATTTATCTCGAGTTGTTTACATGATTAAGCTTTTCAAGACTATTTTTTTTTTAGTTACGAAAACAAATGCAAGTTGACTGTACAATCACACACAATATATATAAATATATATATACACACATATATATGATAATAAAAAATAAAAAAAAAAACATGTTGACTAAAAAAATGTATATTTCCAATTTGAAATATAAATTTAGGAAAGTGATTAAAAGGGAACAAACGAAAGGGACAGATGAGAGAAGTCATTGACGCGGAAACCGACAAAGAATGTAAGGCCGAGACATCGTCAGTCTCTGTCTTCCTCTCATTATTTCCTTGACTCACCAAAAATCCCAAACGCAAGCTAACAAACAAACCAAAAACGACCCCGAAAATTATGCGAAAAAGAAACATTATATAAATTATTTTTTTAAAAAATGAATTAATTAATTGTAAGAAACTTCCAACTAGAAAATGCCTAAAACCCATGTAACGTCATCTCATTCCATCTCGAAGATGGGATTTTTGTGTAACCTTTTGGTCCCTTGACGACATTAGCTTAAAGACACTGTTACTCATATTCCAAGATACGAATTAAATAATATATTACCATAAACCCTTTAATTAATGGTATTTGCATTTTATATATGCACAAAGACGGTCCAGTTTTCAGAATCTAACACGGAAAATAAAAAGAAAAGACAAAAGATTTTGTCAACGACAGTGCAATACATTGTATTGTATCATTAACTTCATATTATAATATGCTCAAAGTTTCATATGCACACAACCGCTACAGAACAAGAAGACAGTCCATTTTTAATTTCCACAAGCAATTCACACATATATATATATGTATCTGCGCGCACACACATATTCCAAACAAATAAAATAATATAAGAACCGACTTTTTTGTTGAAATTTTACGTCTTCTTCGCGACTACATTATAAAAAAAAAAGATCTCAATAACATTTATTAATTGAGCTATTTATTTGTTAGTCATTTGTCGCACTAATAAAGAAAGCGTTTAGAATAAATAGGAGCAAATACATTATAGTATATATATATATATATATATTATAAGCGATATAATATCCGATTTAAATTGGTTTGGATTTGAATAGAGTCGGTCCTGTTTCTTTTGGATCTCTGAATTTCATATGCAACGATTTATTTAACAACCAAGAGATTAACAAAAAAAAATGATATGTTTATTTGAATTCCGATGCACATAGAAAACAGAGGCCCACCGTCACGACCACGCTGTCTTTTGCTTTCAAATATTTACCCAAACCGAAGACTTTCTTTTTTAATTTATCATAATGTTCATATAGTGTTACATAATATCATTTTCGTACTCACAATTTCTATATTAAACATCATAAATATTTTTTAAAATTTTAGATGTGCAAACGATTGCTTTATTTCTTTCAGATGTTCACTATATAAATTTACTTTTTTTTTTAAATCACATAATGATATCTGAAAATCTATTCACATAAACCGTAGGAAACTATATGCCATCTAACTTGCTTCGTGGCTGAGGATAATTAAATTATCTTTATATTGATGATTTATGCATCCCATAATTTATATCATCTCAATTTATTTTCATTTCTTAGAAAATATTTTAAAAATCATGTTTCAGACTACCAATCTATTTTTTTAACACCATCTATGTATAAATAAAATAATAAACGAAAATAAAATAATTCCAAAATAATTAATTGATCAAAATTATTGGTAACACGTTAGGACAAATACGAGTAATTAGAACAGGAACAACAGAATAAACCTATGTACTAATTTTTTGCTCGAGGGTCTTAGAACCGTTGAGATAACGACATGTGGCGTCTTCTGATTTGAGGAGAGACGATGGAAACAAGACCGCCAAGTGGGGGCCGCATCTTTGACCTATAAGTCATCTCATCGTACGGTCTACGATAAAATTTGAGGAACGGAACGAACGACTCTCGCGGCTTCTCCGTTTTGCTGACGTGGCACTCCTTCCTGAAGAAAACCGCCGGCGACTGGAAGAACGACGGGCGCGGCGTCCGCGGTTCACGAAGGGTTCCGATAGAGTGACGGTCCGTCGTCCGTTTTGCTGACGTGGCCCTCCTTCCTGAAGAAAACCGCCGGCGACTGGAAGAACGACGGGCGCGGCGTCCGCGGTTCACGAAGGGTTCCGATAGAGTGACGGTCCGTCGTCCTCCGTCCACCACGTGGCTCGCTCCTAGCCGCCGGTGACGCCGCGAATGAAAAGGAACGCGCGTTGAGCGGTGAGATGTACGCGCTCGCGGCTCCCAGATTTGATGCTGACGTGTCGGTCAGCGGGAGCCGCCACGGCTTGAGTGTGTCGAGGCTGTGGTGGGAGACAGTGAAGGCGAACCTAGAGGAAGAACACGGGCCGATCTTGTCCATCGATTTTAACGATGACGTGTCAAATCGGAGGGACGAGACTCGTGATGGGTATGAGGAGGAGAAGTCATCGTAATCGAACGAGTCCTGATAATCCAATGATGATACGACCATCGTGACCGTTGATAATTCCACGAACGCACGCACACCCTACACGTTAGCACATACGATCACTACTCCAGAATATAATTACTAAATTAATTAAATAAGTAAATAAAAACGTGATTATTACACACATTAACAGATTAACTCAAACTCAAAAGTGTTTGGGGGGTGTTAGGTGAACTAACGAAGACCCCACGTAAAGAAAAGTACTTCATTTTTAAAAAAATAAAAGATAAAACTTTGACTTAGGAGCAAGTTATTTAAATTTTGACCTAACACAAAATTCAAAATTTAACTATCCTTTTTCAATACTTATCATTCTTAAATGAACCGGACCACATTATTGATTCGATATCTATATGATCACGCCACCAATAAACAAACCTCGTACGTAATGAGACAAGCAACGACTATAAATGTAATTACAATTACAATACATATATATATATATATATATGAACGTACCTTCCAAAGATAAGAGAAGAGGGAAGGAGGGTCGATTACAAAAGCTCTGTGGAGACGGCAAGGATAGTTCTCCGCTACTATTTTTAGCGTGGCGACGAGTACGTTCATGAAGGACGATGCTGATCCGAAGAAGCCTGTATTTTTATTTATTTTTTTTCCAATAAAATAATACAGAAAGTTATGATAATTTGCATTTGTGCATGAGTTTATATTCTGTGAAATTATTTAAAAAAAAAACAAAACAAAAAAAAGAGAGGAAATTTATTTATAGGAAGCAGGGTCAGGGGGAGAGGATCACAGAGGAACATTTAAAGAAAGCAAAGGTACGTCGTACGATCAGGAGTTGCAAAGTACTGGTGTGAAAATTGACCTTACTAAAAGAAGGGCATAAAAGTCAGACTCTAAACGTTCTCTAGAAATTGCAATAATGCCCTCGATAGTCAGAGGTGTTACGTGGACACCTCAAGGGCATTCCGGACATTTTCTGTGACCAATGTCTCCCTTCTCTCTCACTCGCGGCCTTGCCGGGGAGTTCCGACATGTTCAACAACACTTACAAAAAAAATCCGGTCCCCATTTCTCCCTTTCATTTTTATTTTATTTTGTTATTAATTCGTTAATTTTTATTATTGCCGATTATTGGAGTAAGAAATAGCTAAATAAAATTTGAGATCGGGTTAATTTTTTCCCCATATATATATACATATATATATATATATATATAGGGAGAATTATGAATGAGAGATGATGGAAAGATGTGGTGGAGAACTCACTTGCGTCGAATAGGATAACGAATTGTTGGGATTTCTTGGACATGGCTGAGATTGCCACCTCCAATGTAAATACCACCAGACGTATCAACCTGGTTTCATAAATCAATCAATTAGTTCATATATATAATAATTTTTCTTTTATTTTTATTTTCATTGCTATTTATACACTTACATTTTCTGCGAACGGAGCTTCTGATAGCTTTGTTTGATTCGGAAAACCTTGACAAAAATAAAAAAAGTGGATAGTTTTGGTTAGTTATAAATATAAATATAAATTATATAAAAAAGGGTAATTAATAAGGGATAGGTTAGATCACCAAAACGGGTCGAGACTCGTCGTCGTAGCCAGCGACATAGGCCGAACCCTCGGCGAGCTCCGCCGTGAACTCGTCGGCGATCAGGCTCTCTGTAATTTCCATTGTTATTTTTCGTATAAATTAATAACAAAGTACTATTTCCAAAAAGGAAGAAAGAGGAAAAACGGAATCTCGAAAATATAAAAGGATGGTTAGATTAGTGGGTAGGATCACGAGTGGGATATTCACTTTAACGCTCGATGTTCAAACATGGGACATGCCAAACCCAAAAAGCAACAGAAAGATGTTGTTTTTTAAGATTAAAAACAATATCTACCAAATTTATAAAAAAAACATATGATATATATACACACACACACACACATGTAGTGTTTTAACTTTATATTTTTCTCTCGTTTTAGTATATGGGTCGGTTACGTGAACGATATTTGAAAACATTTGCACCCTCTATAATAAAACAAAGATAAGATTTTTCAACAAAAAAAAAACATACTTTATAGACTATAGTCTATAAAAAGAAATATAAATATCAAACAAAATTTACACATAAGCTATTTAAATATGAATGGTATGAAACACTTTCATTCCAAATGTCTTCAAACCCGGTGGATGGCGAACAGACAAATGTGACATGTTTTGAGGGGGAAAAAGAATAAACTTTTGAGATTTGATGTATGCACACAAAATTTTCATGCCCATACACACATATATATGCATGAATATATCATACGTAGCTATAAACATATAAACGTATATTACATATACGCGATATATATACATAAATATATATATATATAGAGAGAGAGAGAGAGAGATAGTACCAACGCCGAGAGATGATCTCCATGAAAGGCAAGCTCTTAGCATTTTAGCTGCTTTCTTCACATTGTCACCTTTGGCCCTTAAAAATCTCTCCACACAAGCTCTGTTACAGAACTTCTCCTGCATTAATTGACACCATGTTCACATACATACATATATATATATATATATAATTTAGAAACGTTTGAATAATATAATATTAATTAATTAATATATGGGGTTTGTAATTAATCACCTGTTTAAGAGAGAGCGGAGATTGTTTACGGAGGAGATGAAGAACGGCTTCGGCTTTTTCGTTCAGCGT